CATTATGATTCTTTGCAAGAAAAAAAAAATTATTCAACCCAGAAACAACCACTAATTGGAAAAGTAACCGTTAAATTTGGTGGATGGTGATTCAGGTATGCTGAAATGCATGTGTATTTCAATGATTGCCACATAAATGCATTTTGGCAAACCTTGCTTCATAATTGTTTTGGCAACACAGTGTGTTGCTTCATAAATACTTTTTGAAAAGGGATTGCAGACAAGCAGAAAGAGATGAAACTTTATTTATTGGGAATGGTTTGGCTTATTTTTTTTAATTATGGCAAAGCACATTAGGGCTATCTGCCTAAGGGGAAGAATGCCTTTGTGAAGGACTTTCTAAGGGAAACTGACTCGTATACATGTTACGCATGGGAGAAAACCATGAAAATGCCCATGCAGAGAGCCTGTTCGCGGGATTCGAACCTCGGACCGAACTACCAGTGTTCAGCGACTTTACCACTCGGCCGCTGGTGGGCCTATTTATTGTGAATGAAATTTCTCAATATGATTTATAATTCAGTTTCTGAATAGAATGATCATATATAAATAAACATTTGTGCATGGTATAAGTTATTATATGTTACAAAATAGAGGTACAGGTATATAGCATGTAGAGAGTTTTCAGTCATATTTTGTGCAATATTTTTTATGGGAAGTATTGTCTTTTGATCTGCTGTCATTCTGTTTACATACTTTGTTTGATCTCCTCCCTCCTCCATTCTGCCATGTTTTAGATTTGGTTTCTTTGATCTTTTTGCATTTATATTCTATGATTAATTTTCAGACTTGTATATTTTTTGCTCTAAAAGTCTTCGAACATTTGAAAACATCTTTATCCTACAATTTTTTCAAAAATTGTGAATTTTTAAGCACATATTTTAAATTGAATGAAATTTCTAATTGACACTGCCATTCAGCCTTTGGCGGTTATTTGTTATTATCAAATGTGCTGGTTTGTATGTTGCATCTGTTCTACATCTATTTTTATATCTTATTTTTGTAATTTTTTATGGGAAATATCGTCGTTTGATCTGCTGTCATTTTGTTTATATGCTTTGTTTGATCACTTTTGTGTTCTGAATTTGGTTTCTTTGGTCTGTTCACATTTCTGTTTTATGATTAATTTTAAAAGACTTGGACTTTTTTCTCTACAAGTCCTTGAACATTTAAAAAGCATATATCTTGCAATATTTTCAAAAATTATGCACCTGTTGGAGTTGCTCTCGCACCTTTTCTCAGCTGGCTTTTATCTCTTCTCGTCTGGCTTTCATATCAGCTGTCATCTCTTCAAACCAGCTTTTATCTCTTCGTATCCGGTTTTTATCTCTTTCAGTTCGGCTTTGATCTCAGCTAAAAAGTTCATCAAAGTCTTCATTTCCTCCATCATGGCTTTCCTCTGCAAGCGGGTTACTGGCATTCACTCACAAATCCCACTTCTGACACCAGTTGCTACATTATTTTCTTCCTTCACGTGTGTACGGGGTTCTTAGATTTCAAGTGAATAATGACGACAGCACTTTATGAAGTATCAAAGCACAATTTATTAGCCAGTATTCTCAGGACAGCTCCAAAACACTTTTACAGTCGTCAAAGAACTACAATAAACACGCCGACTCAATCAGAGACACAACCTTCACACAATCAGGCAATAACGGTAAAGACAGCTTCACTGCAAAGCACCAGACTACAGCTCCCTGCTCGGTGGTTCTGGGAACTTCACGTACTCTCGAGACTCTCCACGCTACAACTCATGATGCACTCAATGATACAATAGAGTACAGCTCCCGACTCCTCAGTTCAGTCATTCTCGGAACTCAACACACTCTTTCGACGATGCACTAACCACGATACACTAGGATACTCTTTTGGTGCACTCAATGACCCACACTCAGCACTCGCTGATCGACTTGACATGGACTAACTAATTGACTGCCGAGCCACACTAACTCGATACTGACTGTCTGCGTAGCACGGAGGGTTTATATAGCTTCTGGCTTGTGTTCGAGAACATTCTGGGCTAAACTGGTAAGAATTCGTTCCAGAAGGTTCTCCGTTCGTCCATGGCATATCGCCAATTTTGTCACAAAATGGGTGATTTCTTGCCAAATGTGGTAACTGTGCCTTCTCTTACTATTTTCTGGCAACCCTAAAATCTGGTTTGCGGGGAAGCCATCTTACAGTGCCTTGATATTTCGTAACAATATTTTAAGTTCATTGAACTTTGTGATTGACACTATCATTCAGCCCTTAGTAATTATTTGTTATTACCAAATGCATATTTATGAATGTTGCATCAGTTCTAAGTTCTATGTTTTGATTACATTTAGTTTTCCAATTCATCTATCTGCATACATGTAGAGGTAAAATGTAGAGGCAGTAGCTAGACATTTTAATCATCACATATTTTAAAAGGAGAATTTCTAGTTCAGCAACTTAAAACTAACTTCATTTTAATTGAAAATGAAAAATTCTCATAATAATTACTTTATTTATCATAATTGACGAGTCAGCTCATTGTAATGATGGAAATAAGTGCTTTGTGTGCCAATGTCTTCCCCTCTCACTTAATTTTATTATTGTGTGGAACACACTAAATAATGTCTGCATTTCTTATATACAGTTAAAAGTCTTTAATCTGGACTCTTCAGGACTTTGGCGATTCCGGATTATCGGTTTTTCTGGATTATAGATCATCACTTTAAATCTGGTAAGATGGCATGCAGAAATTATAAAACTAAAAATATGAAACCGTAATTTATGAAATAGAGCTATTATGATCTAAAGGGTATCAAAATTTACCAAAAAAAGCTTAATATTTATTTGTCTACTTTATTAAACATTTCTTTCAACATGCGCATGCATAAAGCATACATTACGCATAGTCAAAATTAGAAAATTGCAACCAGAAAACTATTTGATGTGTATTCATGATATTCATAATGACGAGGAATTTGATTTAAATCATATCAAAGATGGGGTACATTGAGATGTAATACCCCATTTAGTAAGGAATTATAAGCCGAATAAAATAAAAAATCTGCCTTGAAGATAAAGATAGTGCTGACAGATCAACTTCCAGTTCATTGTGCGACGCGACGTCCCCCCCCCTCGGAGAAGCGTGAAATTGATAAACAGATTTCGGAATGGTTAGAGAAACAAAGGATATGCCTTTATCTATTTTTTGCAGCAATTCCACTTTTTGATTGATGGACATTGAAACATGCTTTCGCTTTGTAGATCCTTTGGCAGCTCCAGAATCGGAAATTCTTTTTGACATAATCGAAAGTTCTGGCTTAACTTTTATAATATTGCTCTAACAGTCTGCAAAAAATAATAAGCCAGATCCAATTAGAAGATTAATGAACAATGCAATCTGCAACATTAACTGAAATAGATAATTTTAGCTTAGCTTATACTGTTCGTTATACATTAAACGCGCATGTGTATAGGTATTATGCGCATGTGTAAACGCTGCACAGAAAGTTTGTAGCTTTGAGGTTAGGATTATAGATCATTCTGGATTATGAACATCCAGATTAAAGACTTTTGACTGTACTAAGTGCATGTGCCACAAATTGATTTTTTTTTTTTTTTTTTTTTGGTAGAGTTGTACCAATGTTTTTATTACTTATGTGTCCAACTAATGTATAAAACGATTCATAATAATTTAAATAATGGACTGTGTAACTTCAGTTACTAGAAGAATTAACGTTAACACTGCTTATACAGTCATAAGTCGTTAATTCAGACACCCATAATCCGGAATGATTTTTAATCCGGACCTCAAAGCTACAAACTTTGACGCATGCGCCTAAGACCTTTACGGCTGTGAATATGCGTGTGCGCATGCGCATAATACGTTTACGCATGCACGTTTAATGTATAACGGATGGGGTAAGCTAAGCTAAAATTATCTAATTCAGTTAATGTTGCAGATTGCGTTGTTCCTTAATCTTCGAATTGGATCCGGCTTATTATTTTTTGCAAACTGTTAGAGCAATTTTATAAAAGTAAGCTTGAACTTTCGATTATGTCAAATAGAATTTCTGATATATATTTACTAATATGTAAAGGATCTACAAAGCGAAAGTATGTTTCAAAATCCGAAATATGTTTATCAATTTCACGGCCGAGGGGGGGGGGGAACGCCGCGGCGCGCTATGAATTGGAAGTTGATCTCTCAGCACTATCCTTATCTTCAGGGCAGATGTTTTTATTTTATTTGGCTTATAATTCCTTACTAAATGCAGTATTTCATCTCGGTGTACTCCGTCTTTGTTATGATTTAAATCAAATTCCTCGTTATTATAAATATCATGAATACACATCAAGTAGTTTTCTGGTTGCAATTTTCTAATTTCGACTATGCGTGCATTGAAAGAAACGTTTAATAAAGTAAACAAATAAATATTAAGCTTTTTCTTTTTGTAAATTTTGATACCCTTTAGATCATAATTGTTCTTTATTTCATAAATTACGATTTCATATTTTTAATTTTGTAATTGCATGCCATCTTACCAGATTTAAACTGATGATCGATAATCCAGAAAAATCGATAATCCGGAATCGCCGAAGTCCCGACGAGTCTGGATTAACAACTTTTGACTGTATATGATATAGTTGGTCTGTGATTGGAAATTAGGAATGAAATTCACTTTTAACTGAGAAATATAATGCAAGAATACAATTCAGAAAGTTTTGAAATGTATTAAAACAGAGTTATCATTTCACAAATTCTTTAAAAATTTTATTTCGTCTTATTTCTTTTTCAAAAACCAAATTGCATACTTACTTCAAATTTAATCACATTAAAAAATCAACCTGTGTTATAGTAGTATGTTATGTCAGACCTGATTTATTTGTATTGAGAATATTTTGCTAATGTTATGTTCTAGAAAAGCTGAAGTTCCATTAGTTATTTTCAGAGTCTATTCTATGATAGTTGTAATATAATTTACTACATGTATGATGTAACGTAATTGATCTTTCTATTACAGATCTGTTGAAATGGAAGAAATAATCGATCATTTAGCTTCTGGTAATCCAGCAATTGTTCTTGTGAATGCTAATTTGTTGTATTGTGATACATGTCACACTAACAAGGTTAGTTTCTGACTCCCTTCTAGTTATAGTACTTCGTCATAATTCAAAGTAGCAATGCATTGAGTAGTATTTTTTTATTGTGCATTTATTTCTTTCAGTGCCTGATGAAAATTACCAGCTACTGCAATATTTCTTTTTCATACCAAGGTAAAATTGAAGTTCTGAATTGTTATGCTGAAAAGAATTGCAATAGTTTTTATTGTTTGGTTACCCATGCAAAGTCTAAATAATTCAGTCTGATAAAATGTAGCTAAATGTTAGTAGAAAGAAAAAATAATTTTTGTGTTTTTGTCAAGCAAATTTTATTTAATTGTAGAAATGTCATTTGTCTTTATAAAAAAAATGGCATTTTTGATACAAATATTCCAAATCATCTGCATATGTAGGGAAAAAAACACTCCTTGGCTGGGAACTGTCAGGAATGTAGCATCGTATTTATCATAGAATATCTAAGTGAATGTTAACTGAAAGATTATTTAAACTGATATTTGTTTTTAAGTATGATTACAGAATGCTACCTCAAGTGTAAGAGGCTCATAATTAGTACTAATCCATCCGAGATCATCCTGCCCATTTTGATAAACCTTTGAAATTGCTTTGGTGTATTTAGGCTTAATAAAATATGGGAAAATTATGCAAAATCACTAATCCCATGATTAATATGGCAAGAAACTCTTTTTTCATTGGCAAGAAAGAGAAAATATATATAGGTGGATGTAAAAATATATAGAAGTAGTTTTTCCCCATTGATAATCTCTTTGTCGCCATGATATTTGTAATAGAAATGAAGCAAAAAGTGGGAAGCCTATTAGCTATATATATTTGTATATATACCATTTTATCACATGAAACTCGCTGAGGGGTTAAAATTGATTTTAGGAAATGTTTGTTTATGTGTATTTATATCTAGTGTCAATGGTTTTAGGAAATTTTTTTACATATTTGTATATATGCCACTCTATATCATTTTTAAATATTTATGAGTTATTTTTACATATAGTTTGCATCAAGATTCTGACTGCCATAGACATTTTTGCCAGTGGATGATACATAAAATAAGTCTGTTACTTTTTGATATTATAAAAGGGTGTTGCCCAGTGTAAGTTAATCATTTAAAAAGTTATATGTATATATATTCTTCTATAGCTAACTGAACACCTCAGAGTGGAGTTTGTATTTTTAGTTTGTAATAAAACTCTGTCCATCATTAAATAGATGTTTCTGCCAATAAACATTGCATTATATGTTTCATTTCAGTCTAATAGAAGCATGTTGCTTAGTACAAATTAAACTAAATACTTAAAAATAGTTTTATCTATTCTTCTTAACCACTTGCGCTAAAAAGATGTGCCACGCACGTTAGATGCTTTTGTCTCAAACCACACGCAAAAATGAAAAAAACGTGGTGCACACGTCACCTAACAACAAGAGATTGTTTATTTCTCGAGTTACAGCTCTGGATTGCACTCGCAGACTCGGAGCGGCGTAAATGAGACACTTTACCGCTTGTTACATTGTAGTGCACGGCATCGCAACCGTAAAGTTTAGTCGTAGCGTAAGTGGTTAATAACATTTTATAGCAGTTATCTACTGAGAGGGAAAGAGAAATCTCCATGCCTTTATTTAGTGGAATATTACATGTTGAGGGGAAAAAAATCTGATGTGTACACCACGACTTCCTTGTATGGAAAATTAAATTATATGCATTTTTTCTTGCATTTCATTTAAACTTATTGGATTGAATTAAATCTACTTTTGTCGATAGCGCATAAACCACAGTAGAATAAATGCACTCTTTAAAATTCACTATATTTGTTTACCATAGCAACAGTCTGGTGCTAGGTTCAGTTAACAGTATTATATTTCATTCATATAACTCAGAATGCACAAAATTTATATCATTTGAAGAATTATATAATCATTGCCACATGTTCTATTCAAATACTATAATAAAGCTAGAATGATATATAAAAGAAATTAAGCAAACAAAGCAAAAAAGAGAAACAGATTTTCACAGACAATTTAGTATTTCTCATTCAATTAATTCAGTTCTCACTTCGCTACAAGGCAAAAATACATAAAAACTCAAAATATCTGTATTAAAAGTTACGAAATAAATCTTAAACACTTATTTAGTCGAAAGAATTCCGGAAAGGATTAGGCATGATTTAATTCGCAATAATAAATGAAGGCATTATCTTTGTTGTTGTGAAGATTAGTCTCTCTAGATTGGCAACAAATCTACTATTCTGCTGTTTCAAATGTAAATAAATATGTCCGCCATGTTATTTAAAACTTAAGGCTTAACCGCACTTAAACAGCTTTTAAATTGTTGATAATAGTACAACTACTGCTTCCAGATTTACAAAAGGCATAAAAACCTTAACTGGAAGATAAGAACAGCATAATTCAATCATTTTTAAAGCAAAAAATGTACAATTTACAAACATATAAGAGTAAAGAAACTGAGATCACTGAGCCGGGTGATAGAGTGGATATATATATATATATATATATACGTTTGGTGTGGCCGATTGCAACCAAAATACGAGGTACACATCTACATGTTATAGCAGTCCTATATACAAAATTTCAACGTTCTGAGGCTATTCGTTTTTGAGTTATGTGAGTAACGTACGTTCGTACAGATGCCACAAAAAATTCTCTTTAGAATTAATTTTAAAGCAGTTTTATAATTTTTTTGGAGGAAAAGAGTCTTTTATTCTGTCCTTACGTACAGATGTAATGCAAAAACATCGTTAAATTGCATTCGATAGCAGTCAAAATGGATATTTTCATTGAAATACGCTGTCGGAAACATTTTGCGATCACAATACTTCCTTTTTACTCCGTACAAGGAAGTAAAAAGCAAAAGTTTTCAATCGTTTTAATATTCACAATTGTGCACAATAAGTAATGTTACTCCAGTTATGAATATTGACAGTACAAAGAAAGCATTTTGCTGCTCCTTTTTACTTTCTTGTACGAAGTAAAGGAAGTATTTTATTCACGAAAAATTCTGGGTATCATATTTCAATGAAAATATCCATTTTGACCACTATTGAATGCAATTTAACAATGTTTTTGAATGACATCTGTATGCAAGGACAGCATAAAGGCCTCTTTTTTCCCCTGGCGAATTATAAAACTGATTTAAAATGGATTTAGAAGTGATATTGTCGTGGCATCTGTACGTATGTACCTCACATAACTCAAAAACGAGTAGCCTTAGAACCCTGAAATTTTGTATATAGAACTGCTATAACATGTAGTTGTGCACTTCCCTTTTTAGTTGTAATTGGCCGCACACCAAATATATATATATATATACCCATTCTGTTACTCGGCTCTGTGAGCTTTTTATGTTCTCATATATGGGTAAATTGTGCATTTTTTGCTTTAAAATGAATGAATTATCTTGCGGTTAAGGTTTTTATGCTTTAGTTAATCTGCATGCAATAGTTGTAGAATTATCAACAATTTAAAAGTTGTTTAGTGCAGCTAAGCCTAATTTTTCTTACTATGGCAGCTATATTTGTTTACATTTGAAATTTAGCACAATAGTGAATTAAGTCTTTCTGCACCTTTAGTGTCTTTTTGCAAAGTGGGACCAAAACGAAGTTTTTAGTTTTGTGCACCAAAACATCTGCCTTCTCCCATGCTGGCCAAATTGCTTGTTTTGTGCAGAAAATCTAATCATAAAAATTGTTTTTTAACTGTATTTATTGTTTTATGTTTTTCTATATCTTTCAATTTTTAATGAAGATATTGAGTTTTTATGTACTTCTGCCTTGCCACAAAGTGAGAACTGAATTAATTGAATGAGAAATATATCTCTAATGAAATTCGAGGAAATAAGTGTTTCGTATTAGCAGCAGATATTGTTACCAGTCTGTCTTGAACAGAGGAGAATGTTTACAAGTAGCGCATGTGCATTAGGTAAGTGGCGCAGAATCGTCTGAAAAGCTGTTTCTTTTTTATTTGTTTAATTCCTTTTAAACATCATTTTAGATTTATTATAGTACAGTTCGTAATCCGGACATCCATTATCTGGAATGAACTATAATCTGGACCTCAAAGCCACAAAACTTACGCATGCACGTAAAGCGTTTACCCCATGCGCACTTCTGATAGTGAAGAAAGTGACAGAGAGGTAATTGAAAACGAAAACATTTTAATTGACAAGTTAGTCGGTATTCTCGACACAGCAATTACAAGATTCGAACAGTGGGACTTTGTAACTGAACAAGAAATTATGTCTGTTTTTAGAATTAAAGAGAAAGTATTAGCACAAAAAACGAAGCAACTTAAACAACTTACATTGAAAGAAATGTTTAATAAAGTAAACAAATAAATATTAAGCTCTTTTTTTTTTTTTTTTTTTTTTTTTTTTTTTGTAAATATTGATACCCTTTAGATCATAATTGCTCTTTATTTCATAAATTACGGTTTCATATTTTTAATTGCATAATTTCTGCATACCATCTTACCAGATTTAAATTTATGATCTATAATCTGAAAAAAACCCTAATCTGGAATCGATGAATGCGGATTACGGACTTTGTACTGTATTTGAATAGAACATGTAGCAACAACTAGATAATTCTTCAGATGATATAATTTTTGTGCATTCTGAGTTATAAAATGAAAAGATGTGATGCTGTTAAGTGAACCTAGTGCCAGAGTGTTGCTATGGTAAATAAATGTAGTGAATTTTAAAATGTGCATTTATTCTATTATGATTTCTGCACTATGAACAAAGTAGATTTAATTCAATAAGTTTAAATGAAATGTAGGAAAAAAATGTGTATAATTTAATATTCCATATAGGAAAGTCGTGGTGTACACATCAAATTTTTAATAGTTGTATTATTCCTGTAGCTTTTGGATGTTCAGAATACTTATGAACTTCCAAAGCTATTTCTTTTGTATTTTGTGGAACAACTGAACAATTTTTATGTGCTTTTCTGTATAAGATAGCATCAATGAAAACTGTAAAAATTTTTAATGTTGTTGTATTGTCACAAAATTTAGATCAGGGTAATGAATTTATTGTGGCCAAAAGGAAAGGAGTTGTTCCTTTCATTAGTTAAAGCCTTGAATACCTCCTTAATATACAATATTACATTTAGGTAATATATAAGTGAATATGTACAGTTAAACCTTGGTTTACGAATTTAATTCATTCCTGAAGATACTTTGTCACCAAAAATATTCATAAACTGAAGTATAGGAATTAATTCATTCCTGGATCCTGAATTATTGCTTTGAAAACAGTACTTTGAATGTAAGTTCATATAATGCAAATTTGATGGAATTCATTAAATCTGATAACACATATACTAACGCACGATATTAATATAGTATATATGTATATATATATATATATATGCCTTTTATATTTAACACAGTACTAAATATAAAAAATTAGAAAACTTGAAGTAAATTGCACTGTATCTCTATGAAGGAAAGTTTACCAACTAGAAAATGGTGAAAAATCAAAAGGGCAAAAAGTTATAGTTTGAGAGGGCAATCCTACTCTATAAAAATATCAGATAACTGCTGTCTTTCTGTCCCCCCTTCCCTTCTTATCACTACTCTCCCATTCTTGAGAATCACTGGACTCTTTTTTTAATTAAAAATGTGTTCAATGTTATTTTCTTCCTTTTTTTTAAAAATGTTCCTAAAGCATGCTATTGCATGTTCTTAAAGCAGTAGCATTGTTATTGCAAATATTTATACTACAACTTACTACTGGTTTATCAGGGTGATAATGTTCTGTGAACCTTTTACCTTACCCCTTTTTTCACAAATTCCATGGATCAAATAACTAAGAATATCCTGTCTTCTTCTAAAGACATTTCCACTTCTGCATTATTGGTATCATTTGGTGCCAGTTTACTTATTCATATCTTGAGACATCATTTGTCGTCCAAAACACTTCTTTTGGGCAGAGGGAATTTATTCGTGATCCAAGGTTACACTGTACATTTATTGTAGTTAGCATAAATAAAAGTTAAGATTCATTTATTATTTATAGGACATTTCATTGTACTGTGTGGATTTGATAAAAGGGAAAACAAAGTTCTATATCGAAACCCTTCAGTATTGAATAGTAAGTGATAATAGTATGGTTAATTGCTTTTGATATTAATGCTTTTCTATTGTCTTTACCTTTAAATTAGCTGTATGATATTTCCCAATACCAGAATATTTCATTATGTTTATTTAAATGTTGTTAGCAAAATTATACATTGAAAAGTTTAGGTCTATAAGATGGAGGTCAGGTACATGTTCATTGAGATTTATTTTATGTGGAATATATGAAATTTTTCACAGAATATGAAATTTGAATATCACATTCCATAATTGCTTCATAATGAGATAACTTTGTCTACCAAATAAAAGGATAAATACAGTTTCTGAATTGCAGTTAATTTCTGTCACTGATGTTTTTCGTTAAAAATTTTAGTTTGTGAATATTTTTTAATTTTTAGAAATTGGCAACATTTTCAAGAATTCTGTAGAATTCTCAAGTCATCACCTATCCTTTCCCGATAATTTTCAAACATATTTGAATGGTAAATGGAATTCAGAAGTGAATAAGAAAATTTGATGAATGACTCCAAAAATGGGCTTTCGAAAAGAGGAAGGTTAAATATTAATAATATTAGCCGTATGTGAGGCACAGTATGATCTGACAAGAAATTAAGTGTGGAACTGATTACTAAGTTAGACAAAAAGAATAAGAGTTAGGCTAGTTTTAACTAAAGGATTCTGGAATGATAAGAAAATAGTAATTATGCTTAGTTCTTTTCATGATGCATAATCTGCATCAGTTTATTCAGGGACTGCAAAAGTAAAACTAAAATCAATAGGGATTTATGATTATAGTTTTATAGTGGGTGGTGTCGACAGATGTGATCAGGAGATGCTGTACTACCCTAGTACCCGAAATCAACTTCATAAATATTACAAGAAAATATTTTTCCATATAGTGGATCTCGCCTTTTATTCCGTGTTGGTTGAGAATATTGTAATATTCATATTTTGTTTTGTACTTAGATGGTGCTACAGGTTTATGTTATTGCAAGGGAGTACTCTTGTTTCTTCACAGCTGAACACAGTTAAAGCTGTTGCTTATTTCATAGTGGAATGATAAGAAAATAGTAAATATTCTTAGTTCTGTTGAGGATGTGTTATCTTTACCAGTTTATTCAGGGACTGCAAAAGAAAAACTAATGCCAAAAGTGATTTATGATTATAACTTTACAATGGGTGGTGTCGACAAATGCGATCAGGAGGTGCTGTACTACTCTAGTACCTGAAAACAAAATATTTTCTTGTAAATATTGCAAGAAAGTGGTTTTTCATATATTGGATCAAACAATGTGGAATCATATATAATATACAGAAAAATAACTTTTTGCATATCTTGGATCAGGCAATATGTAATTCGTATGTAATATACAGAAAAATAGCAAACATGAAAAAAATCCCTTCTTGATTTCAAGCTGGCTGTGATCAAGGAAATCATTGGTAAATATTGTTCTGCTATTTGCTCATCAGTATGGTCTAGTGGTGATAGTATGGACTTTATTCATCTTGTAGGAAGGCATTTTGCAAGCCACATACCACCAAATATTTTAAAAATGAACCTAGGAGGCAGTATGCTGTGTAAAAAAGATTTTAAAAAAATAAAAAGATAACAATGGGGGAAAAGTGCATAAAAAGACTCTCATTTGATGTGAATGATTTAAAGTTGGATTATGTTTAAAGCCATGTTTCAAAGTTAACTACGCTAACAAAAATTTTGTATAAGTGAGTACAATTAATATTATTAGCTGTATAAGTTAGTTAGCATGTATATTTATCAAAATTAAAAAGATCCTGTGAATTTTTATTCCATGCAAGCTAAAATAGTGTGATCCATATTGTATGTTTTATAAAAATTAAAAAATCTATTAAAATTGCTGCATTTTACTAATTTTGTTTATAAAGATGTGAATAGTAATATATGAAGATAGAGAAAATAAAAAATTAAAAATTAAAAAAAAAACCCGCCCTGTATTACAGGACCAGAATGTATCAAAATCGAGTACACAAAGGGTTAATTCATTTTTATTGTAAATATTAAAATGTTTAATATATGCATTAATTTTAAATTTATAAAATGCATATGTAAAAGATACTATTTTTGAATAAATATGAATTTTCCCATTGTGTTAGTAACAATGAATCACACATGGGCTATTTCTCTTGACAGCAGCTTTGTTTAATAGCAAATTTATCCTCCTTTGTAACCTTTGTCACTTATGTATTAATCGTGTTTGACTGAATTTCTCTAACAGTTTATATTTTTGCTTATAAGAACTGTTGCTTTAAAATTTACATTAAAAGGAAAATAGAATGCATTTAGTAAAGATAAACTGTAAATAATATGAAGTGAAAATAAGCTGAATAGCAAATGCATGCATTAGAGCACTTACAGACAAAAAATTATTCAGTAAAGTAATGAAAGGTGAAAACTGGTAGTTAAGTATAATTAATAATTATTTAGCTTTTTTTTTTTTTTTTTTTACTTGTTAACACTGAAGAAGCATCAATGTAACGATGGCCACCACATTGTTGGCATGCACTGCATTAGAACTGCAATCTGTAAAGCACAACTTCAATCTGTATCTTTTTTAGTTGTGAAAGTGTTAAACTAATCGAAATCCATTTCCAAATGAAATTGCAAGATGATGATTCATGTTTATCCCTATGAGTTTGAGAGGTGTAGAAAGTTTAAAAGTGGCATCATGAATATGGAGGATGCTGTGATTGGGCTAAGCATACAGGAAAATGACAAGCAAAAACATCATAGTGAATATGCTGCAGTAGGAGAGCTTAAAAAGGAAAGCAGTCATATTACTATGAATGACATTGGCATTGTTCTATTTTAGATGAAATTGCTGGTTCAGCTCATTATATTCTCCATATTATGGTCCTATTCAATAACATGTTAGTGAGATAAGTATAACATCAGGCTGAATTCAGAGACTGCCACATGAATGGAAATTTTGTGTTTGCTTTTAGGTTGAAAAGATTGATTTTTAGGAAAAATTATTACAGAAAATTAAATCTAAGTGAACTATGACCTGTCTGAAACAAAAAGGTCAACATAGTTTGTTGGCAAAATCCAAAAACATTCCATCCCCAATCACAGCAGGAGAAGTAATACTTACTCTCTTTTGGAATGGAAATGAGCTCATTTTGGAATGTTATATGGAAACTGGAGTGACAGTGATCAGTAATTCATATGCATTTCTTCTCCAAAATTACCTTAACCCTGCAGTCAGAAATAAAATGATGAACACTTTTGATTTCAGGTGTATTGTTACTACACGGTAATACTCTACTCTACACTGCCCTTTTAATGGTTATGACAGTTCAGGATATGAAATTTGATTGTTTAACAGGTATGCCTTATTTATAGACCTAGTCCTTTGTGATATTTGTGTGTTTGGATTTCTCAAAGATGTGATTAGAGGCAAGCATTTCCAAAGCGATAGAAAGGTGAAAAACGATGGTGCACGAGGGGCTATAGTAACATCAAAAGAATTTTTCACATGAGGTATCAATGCACTTCTGGAATAAATGTGCTGTATGTCATGAAGACTACATCAAAAAATAATGTAGAATGGGATAATTTTTCTATATTTCTCCATTTCATTTATAATAAATTATAAATGTTTTCACTTTAATCTGCCTTATAGCTAAAGGCAAAAGAATATGATATTGAGTTGATGTTTTTCCTAATTTTTTATTTCAGAGGTTTGTACAATGCCTTATGATTCTTTTGAGAATGCCAGAAAGAGCTTCGGAACAGATGAAGATGTGCTCTTTGTATACTTCACTTCTTGATGTTTTAAAGTTCCTATAACTCTGCTCACCAGAAAGATAGTCCTGTCCCAAGAAAGGGGTTGTATTGTTTCAAATGGGTAAAAGTAGTTTGAAAAGGGTAGATTTTAGAACTTAAAACTTAGTAACTATTATCTAATTGTGATGAATCATTTATCAGATCAGCATTCCTTTGTGTTAACTTTCCCATCTAGAAAGTTAATTAACCTTTCCTTGTGTTTGAAAAGATCATATTATTTATTGCTTTCATAATTCAAGTATTATCTATGATTGTTTACGATTAAACATTCATATGCATTTTTCCTAAAACTTTCTCATACTATTTTGTACAGAAAAATGAAAGTTTTTCATAAAGTGCTAAGAAAAGGAATTTATATATATATATATTATATATATATATATATATATAAAAGCATACTGCTCTGCTTTTTTGCCACATCTCATATTTACTGATTGTTATAGTCTAATGAGCTAAAATTTTTATCAGTATACCAAAGTATGCAAAATGATGTGCCATGTAAATCTAAAATATGTCTGAAAACTGTGCTGTTATTTTAATTCATGTTTTATCTCTAAGAGATACCTAGTCTTAAATCTTTATGTATTTTCAGAGTATGATTTTTAAAGTTTAATGAAAACGACTACATTATTTTTGCAGCATTATTTATATTCATCTGTTTGTTCTGTGCTAACATTATTATGTAAAAAGTGATTTCAAATTGTAAGGAATTACTTAGCTTAAAAGAATTGCACTCGTAATGTTTATTGTTGGTGAACTCAAGTTTTGATGAAGCCATATGAATTATTTTATAAAAAGATCGAACTTATCATGCCCAGCAACAAAACAGATTCTAAATCCTAAGAAAAATTGAAATAGGCATTACTGTTTCTTATCCAATGCTGCTTGTGCATTATCTCAAGAATGGCCATATGGTTTCTCCTGCTTTGTATTGTTATCCTCCTCCCTTTTTTGTGGAGGGCAAGAAATGGATCCATAATAATATTTATACTTTCTTTTTTCCCTTAAACAGAGCTGAGACATTCTTCATATTTAGAGTATGGAAATTATATATACTGTGTTCTACATTATCTTTGATTGAAAGATTCCTTAGATGATCTACATCTTTTATAATCTTTTTAGCATTTTATTTTATTTTGTTCTGAAAGGTTTTACTTATAGTGATATGCTATTTATACTGTTTTAAAATGCTACATTATATATTATACTACTATAAACAATGAATTAAAATTTTACAGAAATCAGGGTTATAAATAAATACTTGTTTCCAAATCTAATGTAAGTTAAGCAAAACAATTGTTGGATATTTCTTAACCTTATACCTGTGAAATCTGTGACTTTAATGCAGTAATTCTGAAAATAAAACTGTTTATTTAGATATGTAGATTGTATAACATAGCAACCACACTTTGCAACTATTTTTTAAATGAAATTTACCCTTAGCTGACAAAGTGTTATGTTTGTGTTCATTAATATGGAGATCTGCTAAAATAACTGCGTTTTAAGTTTCAAAGGAATTGATTTTATTCAATTTTATTAAACCGGTTCTTATTTAAAAAAAAAAACAGAGTTTATTGTGTAGAAGTTATAACAAAAAAGATATTTATATATATTTTTTATTAGAGAAATTTAACTGCAGAAATGGAAGAAATATATTTCTGCATTAAATTGTATTAATATAAGGGCACTATAAGAAATATATTTTAATACTGAAATTTTACTAATTTTGATGCTCAATCTATTAGAATTTATTTAATAAAATGTTAAGTGGAATTACTTTTATAGCATAATTGCATTACGATTGTAGAACAAAAATATTAAATAAATTTATTGCATATCAGTTGTTTCCACAAAAGAAAGATTTCGGAATGTTTGTTTCAGTGAGTACCTTGAATGTGTTAAAAAAATATGAATTATCAGTCATTAAAATTATGCTCACTGTTTTAAAATTCTACATTATATATTATATGTATGATGTATTTTTCAACATTTGGGCCAAAAACAAGTATGCTTTGTTCCAGAGTATTTGAATATAAAATTTTTAAACTTTTATATCTAAAATATCAATGGCATATATTCATTAAGAATAAAACATAAATAAAAAAATATAAAGACATATGCGATCTGTTTCATGCTAAACTAATTTCTGTTTTTAATGATTACTTTTGTTAAATTTCATCTCAGAAATAATACTGTTATAAAAGCATCAGCTACAGGATTGATCAAACACATGTATTATGCTTCAGCTTATAGCTTATATTTTAATTTAATTATAAAGATGTTTAATTTGTAAATATATGTTGTAATTACTTTTTTAATAATTATATCGAATATTATAGAAAAGAAAATTAATATAATTATCTGTGAAATCTTCCTAGCAACACTCCATTTCAGCATTCTCAATTCAGCTTTCTAAATTTTAAAATTGGCAGCTTTTTTATTTTATTTTATTTTATTATTATTATTATTATTATTATTTAAATTATTATTAGAGTGGGAGCTTATAAAGGGCTCTACATAGTTTTATCTTTTCACTCTGGAGTCCTATTTTATTGATCTCATTTATTTATCCAAGTTATCTGAACAACTTCACTAAAAATTTTATGCATACAGATGTTACTGATTTGAGAGGTACTTTGAAGTTTCAGTGTCATGCTTAAAAGAATAAAAGAGATAATGCTTGTATACTATTAACAAAGTATATTTAAAATGATCATTTAAATATCTATATCAAAATATTTAAATATCAAAATATCTGCACATATTTTCATTTAAAATATTTATAAATTTTATCAAATTTATGCATTATAAATTATAAAGATAATAAGCATTGATAGAAAAAATAGTAGTGATAATTATTGTTAAACTGTAATGCTTACAAAATGTGCTAAACTCTGAAAATATGTACATAGTGCATTTTATCCTATACAATTTCACAAAATTTTTTAATGTTAAAATTTTTATATCAATTGATTGTTTACCATACTGTTATTTTTATTATCATTTAGTTGTCTGTTAAGATTTATTGTGAGCTTTATATCAATAAAATATTAGACTTGTGTGAGCTGTTTGATAATTTTAAATATTTAAATCTTAAAAATCTGATATATTTTAATTACTACAGCAATTTTATTATTTGTATATATTTTTAATGAACTTCAAAGAATGTCAATCAATTCTAGTAATAAATGATTTATATCATTGTATAATAATCTTTTATTTCCAATTTTCAAAAGTAGGGTTTTAATAGTAAAATTTTGAAAAATGTATTTAAACTGTAAAAATTCTGCATTCTTTAAAGTTGTATTCTATTAGTTTTCCTAAATTTTTATCTTAAAATAAAGATTGTTACTTGCACATTTTACTATAGAGTTATTACTTTTTATTGATACAGAAACATAAAAATGTGATATTCTCTGGAATTCAAACTTTGGCTCTCTCGAATACGCATCAAGAACTCTGCCAGTTACACCGCGAAGGCACGCTGAAAGAAGGGAGAAAACATACGACTTGGAGTTTGAATTAATATTGTTAAATACTGAAATTGCCAGGAAACAGTTATTAATTATTTTGATGTTATCAACTCGTTTTGAAACCTGTCAAAACTGGTTTCTATTAGATCAATGATTATATTATTGGAAAATGCATTAAATAATTCGTTTTATATATTTATTTAACATCTATTGGTACTTTTGTCTTATGTATCATATTATTTATTCCTGCATATGGAGGAAAAAAAGAGATTCTTGAACCATGTAGATTTTTTTTTATTATTATTACAGTGATAATTTTAAAAAACTTATTGGGTTTAATACTGTTTTTCGAATTTTTAATATCTCAGATTTCAAACATTTTTTTTTTTTTTTTTTTTTTTTTTGGTCATGATTAAGCATTTGATATGATCCTTAAATAAAATTTTGATAAATAATGAGGAATATTTTTGACTGTCATGTAGATAATTAATTGCAGTTTTAATCTGTTGAAAATTATATGTCATGTAACAGATCTGCTTCATAAATTCTATTGCTGATGATGTAACATTATTTTTTTCCGAGAATAATTATTGCCAGTTTAAAATGACAAATAAAACTTAAGAGGGAGTTTTGTTGTCATCTGCAGAAATAAAATTTGGGAAATTAGTCCAGTTGAGTTTTGCTTATGCTTTAGATTGATACCTGACTTCAGTAAGTAACCCACCAGTAGCTAAATGGATAAGACTGCTGAGATATGGTACTCATTTTAGATTCAGTACCTAGCTGCATAGATTTTGCTTCTGTAATGTTAATATGACCCTGTGTTCCATAGAAAATTGCCTATGCAAGCATCTCTAAAGTAAATAATTCTAAAACACTTTATTAGATTAATTAATCAACTAGCCATGACTTCACTATTGAAAGTTTGTGTATTTTGCTGCACATGTTTAACGCTGCCATTGCTTCTTGACAGTATTTCTTTTATTATATCACCAAGAGACCATCAAGCCAGCCTAAATTTCGCTACTTGAGTGACTTGTAGCAGTGTTATTATGTCTTTGAGCAGAGTTATGAACGTGCGTTGATAATTTTTAGTAACTGCTGTCCAGGTATATTTGAACGGAACTATAATCGTAGCGTAATTCATCAAAAATTATAACTTGAAACGAATTGCTGATATTTTGCTGAAGGAAAATATCAAGGGTACTTGTTCATAAGACGTATAACGTGCTGAGGTGATAGAGTTGCTTTTAGATTCCAGCTAAATAGGCAAGTCATTCTACTTTAATATTAAGAAAACAGTTCCGCATGCAGCGCTTATCTTGCCATGTAATTCCAGCATGCCATTTTTAAGCTTTTAAATCATTAATGATATTGATTGCAGGAATAGAAAGAACATAGATGGGAACACAAGTTCATGCTTATAGCATGTTTAGTTACTTCAAGAGCTGAAAGTTTTGATTTGGAAGCTGTAGTGAAGAATGGACAATTAATATTTTGGAGATCAGCTTTTGTTTCGAGTAAGTTACTCTGAATACTATAATCGCCAATTAAACTTCTCGCATTTTTTTCCAAGTTCCCCATATTAAGCACATGCCTGTGAAGGATGAGCCGGTTATCTGTTGATAAACTATTTATATTGTCTGCTATTACATTAGTAAATGTAAAACACAAAAATCATACAGTGGGTAAAAAAAGTTTTGGTATTTGCCCATAATTGATCATATATTAGCTAACAAAGGAAATGCTTGACTACTTTAACACAAGAAGTAATAAACAGAACATAATGAACACAAGAGGTAATAAGCAGACAAATATAATGAAACTTTCATTTTAATATGCTTTTTACACAAAATATACAACAAAAACGTAAATTTGCATATCAAAAAAGTAATGGCAAAGCTCTAACTGCTATGCAAATTTTGTTATGTTGAGGTCACATGTGTAGACTGAACCCTGTTAATATAAAATCTGTAGTGCTACTTCAAAACTTTTAAAACGTTATTTTGCTAATACTGTGATAAAATGGCTTCGAGGAACTTAAATGTTAATATTAAAAGCATTATTATTCAGTTCAGAAATCAGGGCTCATTTTATAGTGCTATAGCAATACAATTAAACATAGTTTATTTACTGTTAGAAGTGTTTAAGAAGTTCAACGTGACAGGATCGACGGAAAATACGATTAGAAGTGGACGGCCTCGAATATTTTCTGCAAGAGAAAAAAATGTGGCATTATCAAAGAGATTAGAAAAACCCTAAAATAAGTGCACCCCAGTTAGGCAAAGATATTAATATTTCGCTAAAACTTTTAGTGTACAGACTGTACGGAATGTTTTACATGAAGGACGTTATTACGGAAGGGCTGCTAGAAGGAAACCTTTTATTTCAGAAATAAACAGGAGAAGAGATGCATCCTGTGATTTTGCAAAATCTCATGTTAATTTATTAGAGGAGTTTCGAAAAATAGTTATTTTCTCCGACGAATCGAAGTTTAACATTTTCGGGAGTGATGGATGGCAGTATGTGTGGAGAAAGCTAAACACTGAACTGGAAAAACAACATTTAACACCGAGTACAAAACATGGTGGAAAGACCATCGTAGTTTGGTGCTGTATGGCAGCAAACGGATTTGAAAACTGTTCTTCATCGATGGTATTATGACAGCACGTACGTACCTTGACATAATTACGCCGTAACTTGAAATTCAGTGCCCAAAAACCTGGCTTAGTAGCATCATTCGTGTTTCAACAGGATGGTGACCCTAAACATACAGCGAGCCTCACCCAGGAATGGTTACTCTATAACTCTTTTCGCTAGCTAAAGACATCGCCTGACATAAATCCAATTGAAAATTTATGCACTAATTGGATCTAGAAGTCAGGAAATGCAAAATTTCGTGTAAAGATGAACTTAACCATATATTCCTGCAAGAATGGCACAAAATTCCCAGTAGTACAACAAAGACTTTGGTTTTCTCAATGAGAAATAGGTTATAAATGCAAAAAGTATGAATAAAATGTATTAAATTTTGTTTCCACATTTTGCTCTATGATCTTGCCAATGCTTTTTTGACATGCAAATTTACGTTTTTGTTGTATATTTTGTGTAAAATGCATATTAAAATGAAAGTTTCATTAGATGTGTTTATTACCCCTGTGTTCATTATCCC